AAATCTGAAACTGAAAAGTGCACAGAATTATTCAATCACAGTGTTCTGAAAGTGCATTTTCCTCTATTCTGCACTTTAGATGCACTTTAGGTGTCACTGGTGGTGGCACTGTATCGATACTTTTGAAAATGAGTATTGTATCCGGATACAACGTTTCAGTATCGATACTTTTTTGAGTATCGATACTTTTGACAACCCTACAGATAGCTGCACCCAACCTCTGTTACCTCCGCTGGCTCTCTGCCCCCGTCCGCTGGGAGACCAGCTCCAGAGCTGACGGCTCGGTTTGACCACCTGCTGCACTGTAGTTGACCAAAATCCCAGAAGATTTTTAAATTCCCCCCGGAAATTTTTTTAGGTATGAAAAGTAGGACAAGATGAGGACGTCGATCACCCTAGTTTAGAGCAGTGCCCTAGCGCTCTGAAAAGGTTGCAAGTTCCCGGTTTGATCCCCACAGCCTGCACCCTGAGCAAGATCCTTAACCCCACACTGCTCCCCAGGTGCCGCACAATGGCAGCCCACTGCTCCCCAAGGGGATGGGTTAAATGCAGAGAGGGAATTTCCCCATTGTGGGACAATAACGGGATTTAAATTTTTTTACATTTACATTAATACATAAATAATTCAGACGAATACATGTACATGAAAAACAAGAACATGCTGCACCACCTCAAAACAAAATAGTGAGTTTAAATACTCAGCTTAATTACTGACTTCTAACATTCAGGTTTTCATTTTGCATACGTATGTGTCGGATTTTTTGAATATAAGTATATAATGTGAATGCATTTTTTATTTGCTCTGATTTCCTGTTAACTCTGAGAATGCAAGCACTATCCCATCATTACATGTCTTGTTTGATATCATCCAGCTTGGTTAGTTTACTTACTGTTAAGCATGGTGGATACCTATGATGCTGTGGGAAAGGGAAAGTGGCTAACTGTTATTATGCCCCTGATCCAGTTCAGAAGGAAGGAATAATCCATTACCCCTATGAGCTGTAAAGGGGAGTATGGGGTAACAACACTCTGCGTATTTGTTACCTCTTAGCAAAGAACAAAAGCATCATTCAGTGTATATCTGATCTGGGGAAGCAGAATCTAATGGTAACCAGCTGAGGTTGTTGTGAAACACCTTTTCCTGTAGCGATAGCACTCATACAGTTGTGCATTGTGTTGTGGTTAGAGCTTAGCCCGGGGAAAACCTCAAGCAAATTTGATCATTAAAAGACTCAAACTGCAAGCCACGCCCCCTTTGATTCAGCAACAGTGTCAACATCATCGGTTGACTCATGTGGCTTGTATATTGATCCCAGATCTCCTCTGATTTATCATTCAGCCGCGCCATTTTTTATTTTAACAAACAAGTAAATAAAAAAGTAAAAATAAAATAAAAAAGGAAATATTTACAAAGACAAACGTGTCGGATTGCTTAGTATCTCAGAAGTGCTTATAGATTGTCGGTTCAGTATTCCCTAGACTGTCGTTTAAAAATAAATACTCCACTTCTCCAATTTTTCTTTTTAACTAATGAGTCAACTCTTCCATCAAGTATATTTCCCTCACAGCTTTCATCCAGTCGCCTCGTCTTGGTGGATCAGACTTATTCCCTTTTCTGGTGATTGCTTTTTTACAAGCTGACAACAAAAATCCTCAGTAAATATTAATCTTTTTTTTTTTTTTAGCACAGATCCTTCCTTCATATATCCAAAATGCAATAGAATAAATGACCTAGATATATCATTGATTGAACCTGTAGAGAGTCCTCTAGATTTCCTGCGTACCATAGCATAAAAATTCCAGATATGTTTAAAATTGTGTTTATTAATAGATTGGTATAAATGCTTGATTTAAAACAAGCTGACTTACACCTGCTTTTTGTTCATGCTCAGCTTATCATGCGTGACTCAATAAGCTCATATCTGCTCCGTTCTGCATGTTGTCACCTGTGCAGGACTTCCGACAGAGGTTTCGAGCTGTGCTGGCAGAAGCAACAGTGAAGCTGGACGAACTGATGAAGAAGATTGGGCGAGCTGTGGATGAGTCCAAACCTTACTGGGAGGCCCGCAAAGTTGCAAGACGGGTATGCTCACACATGCACACGCATGTAAAAACTGAAAGATGGATTTTGTGACGTGAAAACGGGTCTCATTAACACTCACAACGGCCCCTCTTATTATCCCTGACATACTGACATCAGAGCCCACGCTGCCAGAGTGACTAGATTGTCACATTATAAACAACCACAAACAAGAACACATACGCAAACACACACACAAATCCTCAGTCTATTTCAGTGCAGCAATGACACATGAAAGTCAGCCGTCTGAAGTATGACTCATATGATCCTGATTGAACGGCCAAGAGAGGCAGGCGCTGGATTCCACGCTCCTTCTTGTGTCCCGTCAGACTGAAACATCAACATCAGCTTTTGAAATTGGACGGTTCAATTGTTCTGCAGAGGGGAAAATGTGAGTTTGGGGTTTAAACCACAGGGGAAGTCGTTCTACTACCTGCAGCAGTGCAAGAAGCATGAACATTTGTAAAAGAAGGAGCAAGAACATGACATTTTTTGCATCTCTATTAGCTGATTATACATAACTATTCATATTAGTTTGTGGAGGTAAATATAGGTGGCTCCCTTTAAGTAGCAGAGCACCTTAAACTTGTCAGTAATACACAGTAAGCCTCGCATTAATTGCAGCATCAATCCAGCTCTACTGTACTCTACGTGTGTGTGTGTGTGTGTGCACCTGTCTAGGCATCAGAGGGAGGACAATGTTTCCAATTTCACCATCACAATGAGGACCAGTTATTGTAGAGTGAGGACATTTTGCTGGTCCTTTCAAGGTATTTTGCTAATAGTTTTGCTTAGGGCTAAGGTGTCAATTGGGTTAGGGTTAAGGCTGATTTATACTCAGAAACCATGCAAATGTGCCTCCGCCCCTTCCGCAGACACTCTGGTGCACGTCTCCAAAATTGCAGGTGACCGCAGACAGGAGGCCTCTGATTGGTCAAATCTACATCCGCTTTACACTATGCGTATTTCCTGTTTGGTACCTTACCGGCTTGTTTTGTTTGTATGACCGCCATTGTGGAAAACGACTCATGAAGATGAACCATCTAGAAGAGCAAGGTGCGCAAGAACGCTGGGACCCTTTCTCCACCTTGAACCCCGCTCTTTCTCGCCCTCATATCCCTCTGTTGTCACACAAACTTGCCCCAATTTCCTCACTGACTCGGACGTATCAAGACTTACAGCTAGTTCCTGATTGTCCCTCTTGCATTGTGCCGTGGAATAACATAGCACAGACCACGCTTCAATATTGGGCATAAATCAAAAATATCTGCGACAAGCTCACTGTGACACACTGCTGTGAGAGCATAACCAGGCCTTTAGGGTGAGGTATGCATTGGTAATATTTAGGTTTATGGTTAGGGCATAGAAAGGGTTGAACATGACTGAAAATTAATGGAAGTCAATGGGAGTCAACACATCATCCTCACTACATATAGCAGAACAAACATGTGTGTGTGTATACCTGTTGAGCTATCAGAGTTAGGACCATTTTTCCAATTTCACCATCAGATTGAGGACCAGTTGCTGCAAAGTGAAAATGTTGCTTGTCTTCACAAGCTATTTTGCTAAAGGTTAGGTTTAGGGCTAAGGTGTCAAGTGGGTTAGGGTGAGGTATGCATTGGTAATGGTTAGGTTTATGGTTATGGCATAGAAGGGGTTGAAAATGACAGAAAAATCAATGGAAGTCAATGGGAGTCAACACATGGTCCTAACTACATATAGCAGAACGAGTAAGTGTGTGTTTGTGGGTGTGTTTGTGACCTATTCGGATATAATGTGGTAAATTAAGTCATCCTCTGAGGATCAGTGGGCCTTAAGGGTATAATAATCTGATCCCAATGTTTAGGTCATTTTATTGTTATAAATACAAACTAGCTTCTCTGTTTGTGTAAACTAAAGCTGATAGACACCAGAGGTCAAACTGGAAGATGCTGTGGGTATGATTTATGGATGAATATTAAATATTTCATACAGGACCCATTTCCAATGGTTTCAGAAATGTCCTCTCTGACCCTGCAGCAAAAAAAACCCCAGAAACATCAACAGTCGTTCACCGACCCCCACTCATCAGCTAGTCTCCTCCCCCGCAGCCCCCCGTGTTTCATCCCCCTACATTCCAACAGACTGAGTAGGGGGTGTAGGATTTTGCCTGGGCCTGCTTTATCTTTTGTCCTTTTGGGATGCTTTCCCTTCCATTTCGCTGGCTGTCGGTGTGGATGTCTGTGCCCACGCTCACAAGCATCACCCACCTTCACCCGTTTCTTCCGACCCCACCCCTTTGTCCCCCTACTCCATCAGAAACAAAATACAGGACAAATCAATAGGTGGTAAAAAAATTTAAATAAAAAAAGAAGAGTGACACATCAGACAGGTGAGATGGGGTGACCGGTCATGGAAAAATATGATGGCTGATTGCTTCCTGGTTTTTTAAACAAAACAGTCATGGAGGATTTCCCTAAATGGGACAACATTTGGTCTTTATGATGAAAGTAAAAAAGATCTTAAGCTCAAAGATATCTTGTCAGAATCTTTATGGACTTTCTACATTTTATATCCACCAAAAACTACAATGCATTATATTTGCCAAGCCTAAATGAATTATGATATACATATACGGGAAGATTATGCATGCATGTACAGCCTCCCGCCTCAGGATTTACACATCTAAAGAAAGCATTTTCAACCATTCCTCTTTGCAAAAAAGACCCTAAGAGTTTCTATGTTATCTTAGTTTCCCAGAAGTAAATGAGGATGGAAACGCACATCTAGCGTGCTTGGTTGCAGACCACATCTTGTTGTGTGCGGGGCATCAGGGAAAAGAAATCAACTCTTTGTGAGGAAAACCCCGCTCCGCCCGGGAAGTCAAGGAACTCTGTTGTGATCCTCGCTATTCACTTTGACGTGAGAAACCGAATTGATGGCCACAGCTTTAAGCTCTTGAGTTTGTGTTCTGTTTGTGTCGCACAGTTTTACCTCATCAAATATCCATCACCCTCCGTCTGTTGTCCTCATTGTGCTTCTTTTTTTCATACTCTATCAAATGGGGTCATGATTGGATGAGGCATTCCTTCTAATTTCAGAATAATAATAAGTGTTTAAATACCAGCTTTTAAATGTTCCACACTAATATAATATCTAGTCTCCTTTTGTTTCTGTTCCTTTAGTTATAGCTATAGGTTCTTAGGAAGAATATTAAGTAGTCCCACTCATTTAGACATGAAGCAACCGCCCCCTTGGATTGGATGCTTCACTGTTGGAAGAGCACACGAGCGACGGAAGATCTCACCTCCTTCTCCTCTTGACAAATGATTTTCCACATGTAGGAAAATCCCTTGTCATCTGGATTCTTAATCAGAGTATAGAACTTTACACTAATCCACTAATCTGTTCTCCTTCCACTTCCTGAAAACCTTTAGCCTGTCCTTGATATTTTTCTCAAACAGAAGTGACTATTATGAATCTGTCTTTGTTGCAAATGTTTAATCCATAAGTTGTTTCTATGTTTTGGGTTCAGATGCATCCAACCCCACCCACTGCTAATTGGTAACTTTAAGGCCAGAGAATCTGGAAAACTCTTCTACACTTAAAACAGCAAATCCCTGCTCATGAGGGCAGTTCATTTTCTTTTAAGATAAAAAAAGGGTTTCCTGCTCTTATTTATAATACATCTACAAAGTAGACTTTAAAGCAAGCTAATGTGCACAGGATCAGCCTAATATTTGTTAAACCAACGATTCTCTTGTAAGCTTTTCCAACCTGTTATGCAAATAAACCTATTTGCAATTCATTTGCCTGAATATTTTTTTTTTGTAATTCTTACTAAACTCCCTGCAGCAACATATGGCTATTAATAAGGAAGTAAGTCAGTAGTGACAGATTGTTATCAGCTCCACCAGCTTGGAGCTACAGTGGTTATAAAAAAAAAAAAAAAAAAAAAAAACAGGGAAAGGCTTTATTTTATGCCAGGTGACTTTATTCAAATACAGCAAACGTCATTTCTAAGCAAACATGTCTAAGTTCTGCTTGAAAAAACTCAGTCCACATTTATGTCGCATCAGACAATTTTAGGCTATAAAACTGAAATAAATAAACTTTTTGGATGAATGAAAATAACTGTAAATCAAATTATTCCAGGAGAATTAATCATTATGCATATAGCATTAAATTCAATTCAGTTTATTTATATAGCACCAATTCACAACACATGTATTCTCAAATTTTTGTATCTAAGGAAAACCAGTTGATTGCATCGACTCATTGACTCGAAGGCAATCGCCCACACTAAGCATGCTTGTAGCGACAGTGGAGAGGAAAAACTCCCTTTTAACAGGAAGAAACCTCCAGCAGAACCAGGCTCAGTGTGAGCGGCCATCTGCCGAGGCCGACTGGGGTTCAAGGAGAATTCGTTTTATAAACTCTTACTACCATTTCAGTTAGTTTTTCNAGCATGCTTGTAGCGACAGTGGAGAGGAAAAACTCCCTTTTAACAGGAAGAAACCTCCAGCAGAACCAGGCTCAGTGTGAGCGGCCATCTGCCGAGACCAACTGGGGTTCAGGGAGATAGAATGAAGAGTTCCTATAGATATTATGATGACCTGAGTGAATTACCATAGAAATCTTTAAGAAATTTATACATAATATGAACAATGATTGATATATATAATTAAAAGAAGAAGGGGATTTTTTTAGTACTCTCAGCACAATTTTAAGGAAATGAAAATCTCAAGTATCATCTGATGTTTAGCAGCATCAGTTATAAATATCTGGTATAGTTTCCTGTTGATCTGTTTTTTTTTGTTTGTTTGTTTTTTTCTTTCCATCTTGTATAGCTTGCTGTCATTATTTGACACCAAAGCAATACCTTTGGTTGCAGTGCATGATTGGAAATGCAAAGTAGCATTGGCTGAATTTTACTGATGCAAAGAAGAACTTTTAAAAGGGCTGAAATCCTCGGGGTGCCGCCGGTGCCGACTCACTTTTTTGTCCTTTTCCGAGATTAACTTCTTACCTGGATTTGTAAACCTAAACCTAATATCTACTAAAGCAAAGTTAGCCACTGTATTTTTTATCTGATGTAAAGTCATCTAATGTGTATCATGATGACCTTTACACTATTGGACTGAAGCGGTTGGGTTCAGATATTTACTGCAGGGGTTTGACGATAATCCCCCCCATTGACTGTGGGCCATAGGAGCCCACTGACTGCATGTCAGAGCTCCTCAGAGACAAAGTGTCTGTTTGTCTGCGGGATCAAGGCACTGTTGTCTTTCTAAATGAGTGTGCATGCAGCATCAAATCCGCTGCCAAAAAAATCAACCATGGATCCTTTACGTCATGCATAGAAATGACAAACACTGACTTTGTGTAAGACAAGAAGACTCAGTATGGAGAAACACAGCTTGGAAATAACGGTTTGATGTAACCTGAAGTAGTCACTGCGCTGATGGCTTAACCTTCCTGTCTCTGTGTCACTTAGAGCTTTTAATAACCTACTATTTTGGGGGGAGCAGGGGCCGTGCATACCTACAGTGCTTTTCCTTCATGAGTGGAATCTAGACAGCTGATTGGGTCAGGGAAAGGGATGGGAATGGGCTGGATTCCTGTAAACACTGTGTGTTTCTTCTGAAGTGGTTCCCAGCATGCCAAAAAAGATGAAATCTCTCTCTCTGGGTCTGTTTATGTGCATCTAAAGGCAGTTTAAAAGCCATCAGACAGACATTTAAGGGAGGGCCCTATGGAGATAGTCCCTTGTTGAATTAATTTGGTTTCATTTACTGGAAACTTTAATGATTTTATTGTTGTTTTTTTATGTGACAGACTCAGTAGTAGCAGTTCATAATTATTAACTTGAAGAACAATCGTAAATGTTCTTTTTTTTACTATCAAATATAAGAAAATGTCATGCATCTGTTCCTGTCCATTCTTGACTCAATACTCTTTTTGGAATTTGTGTCCAACAGCTTTTCTCAGATAGAAACTTCAATTGTAGGTCGTTCGACTTTGCAGAGTAGCTAATCTGAGTCAGATTGGTTGAAGAACGGCTCTGAAACTTATTCTGCTTTCTTTCTCAGTGTCTACTATGTTTTTTTTTTTGTCATGCACAGGAAATAATTTTACTTTTAATGTTTCTCTTTTGATCCTCCAAAGATACCATCCACCTTCTAAGGGCCTGTCTGCTTAGGTTTTATGCTGAGATGATACTACACACAGGACGACTCTAATTTTTTATTTTAAGATAAACAAGACCACAACCATACCTTTGTTTGTTGAAAACAAGGTATAATTTGTCGTTAACAGCGTAGTTCTGCCTCATAAGACAGGGTTGTCCAAAGTGCAAAGGGAACTAATTTGGTGCACTGGCTTAGGCAGTTAAAACAGAGACACTTACTGAGAAATGATTGGGGTAAAAAATAAAAGGACATTCAGTCAGATTTACTCTAAAGCTGAAGTTTTAAAGCATCTGTATTCTACAGAAATAAGATTGAAATATTGTGCATTTAACAAAAGCTATAAAGTAATGTATTTTTTTGGCTCTTTTCTTTCATCTTAACACATTTGGCCCCTTTGGTAAAAAGTTAGACTTTCAATATTAAAATACCCTTTGTGTGTTTATTTAAATTAATTTGTAACATGACAACATCTGGAAAAGCATCATATAATGCTCTGAACTCCCTAAAACCTCTGCACAGTCAACACTTTGCCTTAAAAACTGTTTATCTTACCAAAAGGAAACCCCAAAGCAAGAAAACTGTGGTGGAAATGATAACCCTATGAGTATTTATTGTACCTCTAAGATAACACAGAAACATTCCTGTAGAAATGGGCACAGCTCCTGTAAACTCATCTCCAGAGCTCAGTGGTTTCTCTGAGAAGGATTCTTTGTTCCCAACCTAATAAGTTGTTTTTTGTACAACAGGCCCAGATTGAAGCCCAAAAAGCCACCCAAGAATTCCAGCGAGCGGTGGAGATCCTCCGGGCGGCCAAGGAGACCATCGCCCTGGCGGAGGAGAAGCTTCTAGAAGAGGACACCCGTCAGTTCGACTCTGCCTGGCAGGAAATGCTCAACCATGCCACCCAGAGAGTGAGTACATCCACAGTGTCCATCCCAACATCCTGCTACACCAGCAGGAGGGTTGGAGGTGTCTTTGATGGATCAATTGTTCTCTCTGGGTTTGGCTTCCAGGTGATGGAGGCGGAGCAAACGAGAACGCGAAGTGAAGCTGAACATAAAAAAACAGCAGCAAACTACAACTCCAGCATCGGTCATATGAAGCAGCTAGAGAAGAAGCTGAAGCGCTCCATAAACAAATCCAGGTCAGTACCTCCATCCTGATTGGCTGGAAATGACGCTCACAGACTTCGCCCTTTCTTGGGGCCTCTTATTATGCAAGCGCCCTGAGAAACACAGGGCTTTTTAAACGTCATCTGATGCTCTCCAGATGTTGCATGTGTTGATTTGACAGTTTTGGGGCGTGCTCCCTTTTCCACGGCCAAGGAATGTGACTTTTCACCAGAGGACTGGTTTTCTTCTGCCAGTTGTTCTTCCCTCAACCCTCACTTCTTTTTGTTTCCTCTTTCTCAGACCCTACTTCGAGCTGAAGGCCAAATATTATCTACAGCTTGAGGTATGTATGTAGAGAGGCAGAAGGTTTTTGTAAAAACCATCTGTCGAACTTTGCTCTGAAAATAACATTTAAAGCTAAATTGTTGTGCATTAAAGTTGTAATAAAAATGGATTTAGGGAAGACAAATCATGCAGAGACTTTGTTGAATCTGAGGCTCTAAAAACAAAATCTAAAATTATCATGAAGTAAAAACCTAGAAAGTCTGAGGGCTGTTTTGTGATATATTTGAAACACAGATACATAAAACAGCAAAGATATGGTTTTAAGTACAGTTTTAGATATTTCAAATTTTGCATTTCAATTGTGTCAGACCTAAAAAAACAACAACTTTAGATTAGATGAATGTGATTGCAATGCTGAACTAGAATATCTGAAAAGCCCTCAGAGAGCTGCTTATTTTGCCAACAGAAACATGACGCTTGTTTTGAAGATGATCAAAGCGTTTGGTGATGTTGATCCGTTAAGCAACAACAACAACAGTCAGAAAGACTAAAGAGCATATTTAAAAAAAAAAATTCTTATTAGTAAAAGTGTTGAGAAATGTTCACGTTTTTTGACTTTTATACACAACTGAGTGAAATATCAAAGCAACAGGTGGGGGAGGGGAGGTACCTTGAACCGGAGACCAGGCTGTGTTTGTCCGTCTGCTCCTATAAAGGGTCTCTTGTGTGTTCGTTACTGTTTGTAATTCTTTCTCCAGTTTTTCTCTGATTGTTGGTTTCTGGGTTTTTCTCAGCAACTGAAGCATCATGTGGACCAACGTCAGGCCAAGCTTGTGGTTGCCAAGTCCGAGTACCGAACGGCGTTACGCAACCTAGAGAGCATCTCAGAGGAAATCCACGCGCATCGACGCTCCCATGCTATGGGGACAAGAGAGCAAGGCGTCGGCGCCGAGGAGGACGAAGGCCATGATGACATCACTAACTTCAAGATGGAGTCGGACGGCCTGTCCAGTAAGTGTTTGAAATAATTGATCCCCCCCCGTTTTTTGTCTGTTTTAATGTCGGTGCCTGCATGTTTAATGGTGTGTGTGTGTGTGTGCGTTTCTGTTCTAGTGGTGTCCGTTTCGGTTGACGAAGAGGGCAGTCAAAGCTCAGAGGGGGAGGAAGACACCCGAACCACCTCCTCATGTCGAACGGCGCCCTCCTCGCCCTCCTCTTCGTGCTCCCATCCCTCTACGTCTGCCTCCACCCCCATGAGCATGCCCAGCTCCTCTGGTTACCCTGCCTGCTCCTTCCTCCCCACTTCCACTTCCGCCTCCATGCTCTCCTCCTCTTGTCCTGAAGGTCTGGAGTCAGAGAGCCTCTGTGGCGGCTCTCACGGCCCAGACCTCATGTACAGTCCTGGTCACGTCTCACCTCTCCTGGGTCCTCGCAGCCAGTGCAGCGGAGCGTCTTCTCCGGACTGCGATCAGGAGAGAGGTGTGTGATACAATAATACCTCCTGAAGTCATTAAATGTCATATTTGCTCTCCCTACAAGGCATTTCTATCATTCACAGTGTTTTTTCATTCACCCCTTCTTGTCTATGTCAGCATTTAGGGCTTTAGGAATATGATTTTTAGTGTCAAAATGTTCGGAATATATATTATCAGATTTTACGTGCTGGCTGCCATATTGAATTAGCCTACTGGTGTGAGGAGCAACATTTTTAAGATAAAAACCTCAGTTGTGTTTATCACACAAATATTTAAAATATATATAGCCTTAACTTAAAGGCAGAGATACACAATGACATTTTTAATCTTTGTACTCAGCTACAGCTAAAACTGTACGACCAAACCGCAGGGTTTAAAAGTTCACAGCTCACTATGGATGTTCTTACACTGTACGACCCGATGCAATCTACCTGCTCACACTGCAGGTCCAAAACCCACACGTTGGACTCAGCGCAGAGAGATGGCACTGGTCGGACTCATCAATCTGGAAGCCAAACCAAGACAGTAGATGAAGAACTCCCTTGTTTGCACATGCACAATGTGCAAGGTTCTGGTAAATCGGATCGTAGACGCTTGTAACTCTGCATCAACATTAGGATTTACCCACAAACGTTTATTTTTTTCCAACCTTGCGATTACTGATTGGGAGGTGGTCTTAAGTGGCAAAATACCCCTTGTTACCCCATGTATACTACAGGAAGCAGGATGAGGCTGAAAAAAAATCCAGCCTGATCCTAAAAAATACTCTGACTGCAGAATTGACCTGATAAGGTACTTTTTATGCCCCCCTTAAAAGTGAAGGAAGATACTGCTTTAGCTTTCACATCATGACTGTCATATTGTTTATTAGCAACAGACAGATTTTGCTTACTCCTACGAGGTAACAATGGCAGCTTTTTTCAGCTAGCTTAGAAACGGGTGGGGGAGGGAAACCTACACTATGTTCTTTGCAACCAGAGAAAACTTCGGGACTTTCTCTGATGCCCTCATTTAAAAAACCCTGTGGGAGATATTTGTTGGCAAAGTTTAGGGGTTTTTAAAAAGTTGTAAATAGCAGCTTATGCTGTTTTCACACTGAAATGTGCTTTGAGCGTCAAAAAGGCGTCGAAACGCCTCATCTTGGACACTGAACATGCACATTGAATTCAGATGTGCAACGAGAACTTTTTTGACACCCTGGATGTGCGTCGAGCAACAGGACGCGTGCCGTTTTCTTGTATACAGTGAATCGTTGTATATCATCTGTCACTGTATTCAGTGCATTTGCTTTATTTATTGTGATGAGTAGGAAAGAAGTCATTTTTAAGAGATAAGCACAATTCAAATCATCATCCATGTCCTGACTTCATCATGATTATGATCCTACTTTTAAATTTCTTGCAGTTGTTCGGAGCACTATATCCCCCCATAATAGCAGGCGGTGGCACTGGGAATCCTTAATAATATTTTCCTTAACCCGGAAAATCACTTTGGAATTTCTTGCTGCCTTCAGATGCAGCTTTAAGTGAATATAGGCAATTTTTAAGTTGATGTGCCGCTTTGAACTGCAAAAGTTTAGATTTTCCAACTCCAGTGTCTGCCGCCTTGCTAAAGCTTGATGGGCATCAAGGCTGGAAATCTCACAACACACCGGCTGAATGCTCCAAATGCTTCAAGAGGCACAAACTCAGACCTTTTGATGCGCCTTGATGCATATCCACCTGAGACTTTGTGTGTACAACGGATATTCCTCAAAATTTATTAATTCTGATGGCAGCATTATAATTTATAAAATGTAGATAAACTGTCAAAAATCTGGAACATGGAGAAAGTCTGGTCTTATGGGTAATTTTCTTGAAAATGTTTTGCTTAAAAACTGATTGTGTTTCTATTTAGTTTGTGATATAAATTTTTACGTTTTTAAGATTTTACATCATTTTAGCTTAAACACCCCTCAGCATGGTGACAAAAATTTCTAAACCTAAAATCTTTAGCTATGCATACAGCTCCACACGAAAAATGCACAATGGATGAGCAACAACTCCTATATTTGAATAACTTTTGGATGACGTGAAGAGGCTTTAAAAAATTAGAAATTACCACTTCTTACCTGCTGCAGACGAGGGTTGTCATGATACCAGCATTTTGGTATCGTTACCAACAAATATTGTGATACTTTTTGATTTCAAATGGATTTCAGATAAAAAGAGAACACCGAAAATATAATTACTGACTCTTTTTTATAAATTATTTTAGAAGCATAACATCTCAATTAGTAAATAAAACTAAGACAATATTTTCTAAAGGCCAAAATTTGCATATTTGAGCATGACATTCAGACAGAGGGGGAGACAAATATCTAGGCTAGAAAACAAAAAAAAGATAAAGCCGTATGAATACTCTAAATATGGTTTTAACTAATTACAAACTTAATAAAACAAATTTCATTACTTTGTGTTTATTTTGTGTGAGGCAGAAGTGCATGCATCGAACCATGGTTACACATTTTAATTAGGAGATCAAAGTCATAATGTTGTCAGAATAAAGGGATGATGATATGAGAGTAAAGTGTTGGTATTGCCAGAAAAAAAAAGCTTCTATGTTTGACATGATGAAATCAGCTCAAACCGCAGACACAGGAAAGCATTTGAATGCAGAGTATAGAGCGCTCTCTCTCTTCAAGCAGAGATTAATTTCAGTGCAATGATGGTTCAGTAAAAAAAAAAAATATATATATAACAATAATAATGAAAACTTCCTGCAGGATCCTTAGCAGTTTTGCACATGTGGACACTTGTGGTTTGCCATAGTGGGTCTCCTCCCTATGGCAGGAAGCATGCTGCACGCAGCCTGGACAGAATTCTGACTGGTGCACAGCATCACTGACTGCTCACGAAAAACTGTAAACCTGCCAACAGCACAGAGAAAAGTCACCTGTCCCCTTATTTAAAAAAAATAAACCAAAAAAACTCCATAAGGGTGCATGGGCAGCTGGTATGTCCATAATGCTCCCACCCTGCACGCTGCTGCAGGCAGTGCTACAAACACCTATCCCAACCAAATGCAGTATAGTGTCATTTTAAATGCCGCATGACCACGGTGCCAAAAACCCACTGATATACCGTAAAACACTTCTGCGAACGTTGTGTCCGTACGTCTCATTTTCCAAGCAGAGTGCGCCTAGCATAAACTGAGCTTCAGAGGGGCCGAATAAAAAAATTCAAACCACACGTTTAAGATTTTTATTTGTTAGGAAAAAAAATATAACAACTTTGAGAATTTCACATAATTTAAAGTAAGTTAACCCTTTGTGATTCTATACTGCTGCTTGTTGGTTTACCACATACATTACAGACCGAAAGTTTGGACGCACCTCCTCATTCAAAGAGCTTTCTTTATTTTCATGACTATGAAAATTGAAGATTCACTCTGAAGGCATCAAAACTGGGGATTGTTTTTCAAAATAAAGGCATTCTGAACCAGCATGGCTACCACAGCTTCTAACAGTGGCATACTATTCCACCTGGTTTGCGTTTAGTTGGACCATCATTTATTTATCAACAGTATAATGACCCCAAACACACCTCCAGGCTGTGTGAGGGCTATTCGACCAAGAAGGAGAGTGATAGGGTGAACCCAAACGACATGGTTTGGGGTGAGCTGAACTCCTTCAAGACTGTTGGAAGACCATTTTAGGTGACTACCTCTTGAAGCTCATCAAGAGAATGCCAAGAGTGCGAAGCAGTAATCAAAGCAGAAGGTGGCTACTTTGAAGAACCTAGATTATAAGACATATTTTCAGTTGTTTCACACTTTTTTTGTTAAGTATATAATCCACATGTGTTAATTCAAAGTTTTGGTGCCTTCAGTGTGAATCTACAATTTTAATAGATATGGAAATAAAGAGAAAACTCTTTGAATGAGGTGTGTCCAAATGTGTATATGTAGAAAACCTGAGAAGCATTTAAAAAGCAGCCAGACTTTCAGTTTTTCCTCTCCTCTCTGTGTTCCAGGCGACAGAGCAGAAGGAGCCGAGGCCTCACTGGAGGGCGGCCTGAGCAGGCTGACCTTGTCTGCTCCTCCAATATCCGCAGACTCTGAGGAAGACAGAGATCCGCATTACATCAACCCGGAAATTACCTCTCCCAGCTCTGCCACCTCCATTCTGCTTCTGAACGGTGTCTAATATTTTGCATCACACCTTCAAGCCCCGACAAGGAGCCACTGGCAGAGCAGGATGGCACAATGCAACGGAAAGTAACAAGAGGAGCTGAAGCTGCTCTCCTGCATGACTCCCTGTCTCAGTGTTGTGTAAACATCAGTGTCGTCACATGGAAGCTGCTGTGTTTAGCATCGTTTTACCCTTGTTGAATAAATTCTGAAGCTTTTTGGACGTCATAAACAATAGAGACTGGAGGGCGGACAGTAAGTGGATCTCTGCAGTGTTAGTGCTGGTGTTATTAAAGGGCATTGAAGATCGACATTTTTGCAAGCCATAACGATGTCCTAAAGGCGTGCAGTGCTCTTCGAGTTAACACCAATGCTTTAAACATTTCATTTTTACCCTAATCTGAGATTCCTATTACTGGTTCCACACAAGGATCTGTTTTTTTCCGGTTTTAACATTTTTCACTCTGGCCACCGTGGAAAGCTTAGCTCGCCGATTCTGGTGAAATGTGAAGGAAGGAACTGGAAGGAACTGTGAGCACTAAAGAGACTTGGAGCCTGCTAACCCTTTAGCTCCATAACTGGTCTTCCATTCAGACTTGTGAAAGAGTGAATGTGTCACTAAGTGCAAAGGTCAGAGAGCATTCTGGGCTTTCTCTGTGTGGCTGAGTAAATGATTTGGTTTTTGGACTGTCTGTGTGTTTGAGTGACTGTGTGTGTGTTTGTGATTTGGACACTTAACCTGTTGTAGAGATATTCTATATATTTATACTCATGTATTCTTCTATGTGTTTTGTGGTTACTGTTGTAATTGTTTAGCACAAGATAAGCATTAAACATGGCCTTTATGAAACTTTCTAATGAGTAACTGTCGTTCTTCACTGCAAAAAAGCGTCATAAATTAAGTGTATTTACCCTTAATTTGAGGTGGTAAATCAGATGATCTGCCAATGGAATGAGCATTTTTACTCTTAAAATAAGTATAAAATAAGATAATTAGATATTATGCACTTGAAATAAGAAACTGCAGTTGTTTTTTCTTATTTTAAATGTAAATTGCCTTATTCCATTGGCAAAGTGTATCACTCAACTGCTCAATTCAAGAAAAATGCTTATTTGAAGAAAAATAAACTTACTTAGATTTAAATTTTTTGCAGCGTACTTCCTACCTCTCTGAGCTGCTCCACCCTTACTCACATCCCACTGACTCAGGCCTGCTAGTGAGCTGCTCCTCAGTGTCCCACTGATAATTAGACTGGCCTATTCTCTCCCTGCTTTTAAATTAATTCTTAAATTGCATGATTACTTTTATTCCTGCATTTCTTAGTTAGCTTCTATCTGTTCCTTAATATGGTTCGGACTGGGGTGTTCCCCACCTCTCGACCATTGACTACTGAGATAGGCTCCAGTCCCCTCGTGACCCCATAAGGGAATAAGCGGTTACGATAATGGATGAATTTACATAAAATGTGATCTTAGTGAGTTATTTTTTCTTGATTTGAGCAGATAAGTGAGATATTTGCACTTGGAATGAGATGATTTACGTTTAGAATAAAGGGAAAAAATGTTATTTCAATTAGATGATATCTAATTAACTTGTTTTAAGGGTAAAAAATGCTTTTTCCATTGACAGATAATCTTATTTACCTGTTTAGATTAAGAAAAAATACTCCTATTCTTAGAAAGTTTACCTTTTTTTTTGAATTATTTATGTTGTGCACATCCCAATAAACTTGCACTTGTATTGTAAAAAAACATTGAAAATTGAATCCTCTTAATGGAGAGTGACTTTTTTTCTGCGTTGTCAACATGTGCAAATTCACTCGAGAAGGTAAAACATATGGTAAAGGTTTTGTGTGTAAAGATCAAAATGTAGGCCAAAAAAAATAAATATTAAGTGAAGCTGAACTAATGAAGCAGTAACAGAATGAGAGAATGAAATGAAAGGTTGTCAGTGAATCAAAAGTGAGAAGCATATAGACAGAAGGCCAGAACAGAAAGCAAACACTAAATAGATATCAATAAATGGGTAAAAGTCAAGCCACAAAACCAACAGATAACAGAGAAGCACAGAATAATGTGAGAAAAAGAAACAGGAAGTAAGAACAGACAGTTTGAAATACACCAAAATAAAATAGGAAAACCACAAACAAGAAACTCAAATGCAAGAAATATAAAAATACCCAGCTACCCATCACAGATTTGAGGTGGTGGTTTTTTTATTTAACTTTTGGATAAATAGAAAAAAAAGGAAAAAATATCTATTCATCAATTTTTCTTATCATATACTGCATCCAGAAGGGCAAGAATGTTCTAAAGTTCAGCTCCCGATAGTCTAAACACTTCTGTGTCACTAATGGTAAACTGCTCAGTTTCAGAGGCTTTCTATTAATCATTGTGCTTTTCAGCGATTTGTTTTCTTCTGGGTCCCCAAACTTTAAGACACTGGTTGCAGGAGAAAGTGATCCTCCATGTGTAAGAGGAAGAATGTTATGTCTAAGTTATGACATGCTGATCTGATTTGGAGGCAGAAAAAAAAAGGTGTTCCTGTTTGCCTTTGAGGTTTGGTTTCTTTGGGGAAAGATGTTGTGTAACAGCTCTTAGCTTGAGTCATCAGATTACACTCAGACAACTTTCAGTGCTCTCAGGGTTATGCTACCCCATAATTAGTAGTATATGTGAGCAAGGCTGGGTATTTAGCCCACCTTATTTCTTTATCAACATGCTTTTTCTGCCTTACATGAAGTTTGCATTAGTTTCTACTCTAAAAAGAACATCAGTTTTCTCTGTTTTCTATTTAAAGGCACACTTAACAGTCTTCTCATGACTTAACTTACTGCCGCCAGACTGATGTCTGCTACGGTTAAATGCATTTGAACTTCTTTCATGTACTAATTCAACACTTTCCTGACTGCAGGCTGCCAATCAGTTAAATTAGACAACCCTGGATTTCAATCAGAGGCTCTGTAACTGGACACAAATCATGAGGAACCTATTTATTTTTTGTGCAGTTATGTCCTGTACCATACTGACACCAAGTGGTGATATTTCATTATAGATTCATATGTATTCCATATACACTCACCGGCCACTTTATTAGGTACCCCATGCTAGTAACGGGTTGGACCCCCTTTTGCCTTCAGAACTGCCTCAATTCTTAGTGGCATAGATTCAACAAGGTGCTGGAAGCATTCCTCAGGGAGTTTGGTCCATATTGACATGATGGCATCACACAGTTGCCGCAGATTTGTCGGCTGCACATCCATGATGCGAATCTCCCGTTCCACCACATCCCAAAGATGCTCTATTGGATTGAGATCTGGTGACTGTGGAGGCCATTTGAGTACAGTGAACTCATTGTCATGTTCAAGAAACCAGTCTGAGATGAATCCAGCTTTATGACATGGTGCAGTATCCTGCTGAAAGTAGCCAGCAGAAGTTGGGTACATTGTGGTCATAAAGGGATGGACATGGTCAGCAACAATACTCAGGTAGGCTGTGGCGTTGCAACAATGCTCAATTGGTACCAAGGGTACCAAAGAGTGCCAAGAAAATATTCCCCACACCATGACACCACCACCACCAGCCTGAACCGTTCATACAAGGCAGGATGGATCCATGCTTTCATGTTGTAGACGCCAAATTCTGACCCTACCATCCGAATGTCGCAGCAGAAATCCAGACTCATCAGACCAGGCAACGTTTTTCCAATCTTCTATTGTCCAATTTCGATGAGCTTGTGCAAATTGTAGCCTCAGTTTCCTGTTCTTAGCTGAAAGGAGTGGCACCCGGTGTGGTCTTCTGCTGCTGTAGCCCATCTGCCTCAAAGTTCGACGTACTGTGCGTTCAGAGATGCTCTTCTGTCCACCTTGGTTGTAACGGGTGGTTATTTGAGTCACTGTTGTCCTTCTATCAGCTCGAACCAGTCTGGCCATTCTCCTCTGACCTCTGGCATCAACAAGGCATTTCCGCCCACAGAACTGCCGCTCACTTTTATTTTTCGGACCATTCTCTGTAAACCCTAGAGATGGTTGTGCGTGAAAATCCCAGTAGATCAGCAGTTTCTGAAATACTCAGACCAGCCCTTCTGGCACCAACAATCATGCCACGTTCAAAGTCACTCAAATCACCTTCCTTCCCCATACTGATGCTCGGTTTGAACTGCAGGAGATTGTCTTGACCATGTCTACATGCCTAAATGCACTGAGTTGCCGCCATGTGATTGGCTGCTTAGAAATTAAGTGTTAACGAGCAGTTGGACAGGTGAGAGAGTGTATATTCATATGTATATTGAATACATTTCTTTAAGTTACTTTAATTAGTAACTCAAATTTGAGGTTATTTAAGTTACTTTTATGTCACAGCTAGGTAAGTAATTTCTAATAAAATCAAGATATAAAATGGAAAAAGCTGAGATAAATAACTCAGAACCTTTTCTTTTTGATAGATTTCTTTTTTGTATCATGTTTACAAATTGATTATCCTTTTTCCTGGAAGGTTTTCACATTTATTCAAACCAATTTTTACTTTTTTTACTTTAATGGAGACATTTTTTAGATATTCCTAAACACACATTAAAACTAAAACTATGTAGACTGTGCTAACGGATTTGTCTATATTTCGTGTCATCGTTCTGGTGGAAGGTGAACCTCCTAAAATCCCACTTTTATTATTCCTTTCCAGCCATTCTTAGCAGCTTTCCATTTCTAGCTGAAAAAGAAAACACCTCCATAGCATGTTGCTACCACCACCATGTGTCACTTTGAGGATTCCGTATTCTGTACAAGTGGATGATAGGTTTGCAATGATGCAATACCCTTAATATTGTTAATACTGTTGTCTGAAATTTTGAAACATTACTTGAAGTTCATAAATGAAATACTGTGAAATTAATCAATTTGAATGTTTTATTCCATCCATTCATCCATCTATTTTCAGACATGCTTATCCCAAGCGGGGTCGCGAGGGGTGCTGGTGCCTATCTCCAGCTATCTACGATCTAGAAGCGGGGTCCACCATGGACAGGTCGCCAGTCCATCGCAGGGCAACACAGAGACAAACAGGACAAACAACCATTCACGCACACACTCACAATTTTTTAGAGAAGCCAATTAACCTAACAGTCGTGTTTTTGCACTGTGGGAGGAAGCTGGAGTACCCGGAGAGAACCCATGCATGCTCAGGGAGAACATGTAAACTCCATGCAGAAATACTCCGGGACCAGAATCGGACCAGGAACCTTCTTTATTCCAATTAAGCTAATGTTTTGCTTAAAAAAGAGATTTTACAATAATAAAAATTATATTTCCTTTTCTTCAACAAACATCTTACAGTAGGTTACAGTGAGCAGCTTCATTAATACTATTACACACCAGTCAACTACTTTCAATAGTCTGGCACACAACCCACCTTCAAAACTCTGCATGTTGAGATGTGGTTGAAACAATTTCAGTTGTAGTTTCAACATTGAAAAAATGTTAAACAACATATAATTAAATATTTGTAAAAAAAAAAAAAAAAGTCAATTTTCATAAATCATGTTTTTTCATAAATTCTCATGTTTAATTTTTGCAATCAGATCTAATGCTTGTCAATATATTTTTTCAAGCCCATATAAATTGTAATACATCAGGGACCCAGTTAGTCAACTAATTTCCACCATTTAGCAAGTTTTAACTTTTAAACTTAAAAGTTTGCGTTTTTGGAAGATAAACATATAGAAGTTGTATAAACCACTTAATGATTTTGTTTATCTCCATATGTTAAAAAAAACAAGAGTTTTTAAGTTGACAATAAAAAAAATTAGTAAATGGGATCTCCTTTTTTATACTTAATTTAATGTGTACGGACATTCCAG